AGCACAGACAACGGTTTGATTAGGCGCTTCGCCTCGCAGCCAATCGCCATACGAAGATTACTATAAGTTGCGAGCCGCCAGAGAGACAGGGGAGACGAATTCTATGGTGTAGGACGTTCAAGCATGACACCGGAATCATAAAACAGCAATAATAGTAGTAGAAGTAGCTGATCGACAACCTCTTCCTTATATGCTGTCTCTTCAGGACGTAGGAGATCATGGCTCTCCACAACTTCCTGTCTCTAGCTCTTAATAAATTTCGTGCTTCTTTTCCGAAACCTCCCGCCATTCATTTAATCAAGCTCACTAAGCATGCTATGCGTTGTTTTCCTCTGTCTTTCTTGCCTTCAATCTGCCCTGTGAGTATCAGATTTTACAAGCCCTCTTTTCTCATTATATGCCCTAGAAATCTCAACTGTTTTTCCTGCTGTTAAGCATAAGTTTCTTTTTTGTTACCATTTTCTCTAAAATTTTGTCATTATACACATGTTCGGTCCATGGTATCCTAAGCATCCTTCTGTAGAACAAATATTTCTGTTGCTTCAAGTTTCTTCATTTTTGAGGAGTTTGTCCAGTACTTACTGCTATACAGGAGGACATACGTTGCGTAGTGGTTTAGTACTATTTTCCTTGTTTCTGGTGAAGTTTTTCTATTTTTTTAGTACCCTGCTTAGTTTTTGGATGGAATCTTTGGCTAGAGTTAGCCCGAAGTGGAAAACTTGCCTGCCCTGAATGTAAGCCGTGTGTTCTTTGATACAATTTGAAGTTAATTGATATATGGTCTATATTTATTTCTTCATTTATTTTTATTGTCCTTGTTTTTTTCTAGTTTCCCATTTTTTATTGTTCTCTCCTTTCTAGCAGATCTACTTTCAATGTTTAATTTCGCGTTTAATCTATGTCAAGAAATCATTTCACTTATTAATCTGAATTATTAATTGAGGACGATTCTTGCGTTCATATGGAACAATAGAGTTTTACGAAAGTAAACTGGTTAGGTCTTAAACTGTTTAAGAGAAAATCAACTTTTCATTTACTAAAATGACAAAAGAAAAAATGTCGCTTTTTAATTAATTTCTTCATTGCCAAGTTAACGGCCATTCCCATAGCCCTGTGTAATAAGAGATTGTAATTAATATCATAAAAGTTGATTATCACTTGAATAGATGAGGTTTCTAGGGCAATGAGGAAAGAAGGCTTGAAAATTCTGATACTCACAGGGCAGATTTAAGGTAAAAAAAAAAGGGAAACAATGCATAATATAGTGAGCTTGAGTAAAAAATGGCGGAACAGGCCTTGGGAGAAATAAAAGAAAGACAAAATTTATTAAGAGCTGCCAGGAAAAAATTAATACCGTAATAGATGATTGTCACTTGAATTCAAACAGCAAAATTACCCTAGATTTTTTTTCCCAAAATTATTAAGTAGAAATCTTACTGTCCATGTGTTCTTTGATGGAATCTGATCGACATCAGTGGAGAAGAATTGCCAGAAGTTTGCAGCAGAAGCTAAAACCAAGATCCACAGTCGACCGTTAAACGTCTGAGTAAATTTCAATATGAATTCTAAATAAACATAAAAATGTACCCAGTGTGCAACAGACGACACTCGGGGTTTTCTTTACCTCAGCATAATAAATAACATTAACTTAGAATATTTCCTCTTTTTTTTTTCTTTCAACGAACATTTGTTTTAATGAGTATCTCCAACCCAGCATGGAGATTAGCCTTGCTGATGTCCTGTCTGCAATTCTATCATCCTACGTCACGAATCGCAAACAAACTGTGCTTGCCATTCAGCGATTGTTTGTCTGCAATACAGTTTTTTTTTTTTTCTTCAAGTCTTATCAAGTCGTCCTCTCGCTGATTTTGAATAAACAATATAAAGAAAGTTGACTGGGGTGTTTTAGACTCGAAAAAAATAGTGTCTTGAGGGTGAGTAATAGTTTGTCAGCAAGTCGATAGTAACACACAAGTTCTGAATAGCGTCGCATATTATGAATGCCAAACAAAAGATATAGGCATGAATCGCTTCCAACGTTTAACATTCAATGTTCACGTATTGTCACGAAACTGAAGACAAATATATTCTTTTCTTTTTTTTCAAAGCATGATTTTGAAAAGCAATTCCGTGGATAAAAATTTGAGTTGTATCTATTCTTCGGCAAAGATGACGGCGATATTTAGTTTCGAAATATTATAAATTCTAAAGCTATTTGCTAAGTTTAGGTTAGTTTGGTACAAGGCATTGAAAACAATCATAGCCATCCTGAACGCAAGTGCATTGTCAAAATTAAAGGCATACTTTTCTACACTAAATACAGTATTGTTAATTGTAGATTTTTTTTTACGTAAGGCAGTTTTGTAACTGAGAATGATCAAATAATTTCCCCACTTATAGATATGGTAACTGCTTGTTTTCTTTACGCTTTTCAGATAGCAAGGAAAACCTGAAGGAATTCATAAAAGCCAAATGAAATAAGGTGAATATCGAAAACAGAGGGATAAGTGTGTATATATATATATATATATATATATATATGAGTGAACATTGAAGTCAATATCCAGAGGCGACAGTCTGTTTCATGCTAAACGCAATCGTCAGGTGTGGTCTCTGGGTGCTGATTTCAATGTCCACTTTTATATTTACATACGCTCTATCCCTGATACTACGTATTTTAACCCATAAATATAGTATACCTTAAAACTATATTTTATCATATATATATATATATATATATATATATATATATATATATATTTGTGTGTGTAATTGTGTATTTGGGCAGCAATCTTTCTTTTATACAAGTTTAATTAAAGACGATTGACAAGGTACCGCGATTTAACTTTTTATATAAAACAAATTCCAATGTCCAGCAGCCAACAAGGAAAGTAACACAACATCCAGAAACAAAGAAAAAAACTTGTTTTAAAGACAAAGTTTAATCGCACTACTTTGAAGTTGTCTTTCATGAAACTTGTATAAAAAGGATTGCTGCCCAAATACATAATTATTAAATTACATGACCTGACAGCCAAGGCAGATGGAGAGAGAAATACGCAGAGGCGATGGCTGTCAATACGCTAAACGCGTGTTCCCATCTCTGACAAGTTTGATCAATGTTTTCTTTTAGTTCTCGTGAAATCGACAATGGCTTTTGAAGGCAAGCAATGCTTATTACAAAACTAAGCTGTTCCGTACAAGGCCTGGACTGTTTTGTAAATTCTGTATATACATAGAGCGAAGAAAAGAAAGCTACAGTATGTACATAGAAATCAACAAATCTAAAAATCGCATTGAAACGTAAAACCGACAGTTACCATGCGGTGCTGATTCCTATGACCACATTGTCTATATCTATAAATGCTCTATCCCAGATACTGGTCATTCTACGCTTAAAAATATAACATAGTTTAAACAAGATAGATAGATAGATAGATAGATAGATAGATATGAAATGACTGACAGATAAATAGTTAAACAAAAGCAGAGATAGATAGATAGATAGATAGATAGATAGATAGATAGACAGAAAGTAGAAATATAGACAGAAATATAGATATAAGAGATTGATATAGATAGAAAGATATGAATAGATTGACATAGATACATGAAATTGGCATATATAGATATTAAAGAGATAGATAGATAGATAGATAGATAGATAGATAGATAGATAGATAGATAGATAGATGGTCATGTTTATGCAAATATCTTCTCTTTTTTGTCATGGTGAAGTTAATGGCCAATCGTGCTTAAACGTATGCTTGACAATCAGACAATAATTGTCGTTTTTGTTCTGCCCATTTGGCTGCAGCTGGTGACCAAAGCCTGGTCTACGTTGCTTTGTAATCGTCTGCTTTTCGTATCACTGAAAGGAATGGCATTCCCTATGGTTCATAGAATTCGACAACATAGAAACAATTACAAAAAAATATTGAAAAGAAGAGGAAGAAGAAGAGGAACATAATGTGTGTTTAAATATAACTAGAGATTGTCAGAGAGACAAAGACAGAGAGAAAGGAAGTGGTTTGTAAAGGAGAGGAGAGAAAATCAAGGAAATGAAAAGAAAAAAAAAAGATGAGGAAGAAGAAAAAAAAAAGAAAAAGGGGAAGAGAAAAAAGATTAGGAAACGAGAAGGTGGGAAGAGTAGTCGCAATTGAGGAGAAAGAGATCAAGAAAGGAAAGGAAGAAAAAAGGGAAATGAGAGACGAAGAAAGAAAACGAAGGGAATAATGAAGGGAGGAAGATTTGATGATATAAAAACAGAGGTGGGATGAGAGAGAGAGAGAAAAAAAAAAGTAAGCTCGACGAATAAAGAGGAAAAGGAAAAGCGGGAGTGAAAGGGAAAATGTAGGGAAAGATAGTAAAAGCGAATAAAATAACTGATGATGATGATGATGATGATGATCATGATGATGATGATGATGATGATGCAAAAAACAAAAGCAGATAAAATAAGAAAGAAAGAAAGAAAGAAAGAAGTACGGAATCAATGAATGCAGAAGAGAAGAAAAGAAAAGAAAACAGCAAGGCATAAAAAGGAAGGAAGGGAGGGAGGGGGAAAGGAAGGAAGGAAGGAAGGAAGGAAGGAAGGAAGGAAGGAAGGAAGGAAGGAAGGAAAGGAGGGAGGGAGGAAGGGGGAAGGAAGGAATGGAGAGAGGGAGGAAGGAAGGGAGTGAGAGATGGAGGGGGGGGAAGGAAGGAAGGAAGGAAGGAAGGAAGGAAGGAAAGGAGGGAGGGAGGGAGGGAGGAAGGAGGAAGGAAGGAATGGAGAGAGGGAGGAAGGGAGGGAGGGAGGAAGGGGGAAGGAAGGAATGGAGAGAGGGAGGAAGGAAGGGAGTGAGAGATGGATGGGGGAGGGAAGGAAGGAAGGAAACTGAAATTGAGAGAGACAAGAAAAGCAATAAAGAAAGAAATTAATGAGTAGGAGAGAACAAAGAAAACGAAGAAGAGAAAAACAGATAAAAGATACGAAGCAAAAGAAAAAAGTCAAGATGTCAGAAGAGAAAGATGATGTATTGCAAGGGGAACAAATAAAAAATGGTAAAGGAGAGAAAGAAAGAAAAAATGAGGAATCGAAGCAAAAGCAGAATCTCTAAGAAGGAGTAGGAGTAAGAAAGAAAGAAAGAAAGAAAGAAAGAAAGAAAGAAAGAAACTGATAGAAGGAAAGAATAAGAAGGGAAAAGTACAAAGGTCGGGGGGGACGCCAGGCCAAATTGACAGTCAGAGAATGGAAGGGAGGAGGAGAAAAGGGGGGGAGCAATAATCGATGGGAACCAATCAATGGCTACCTGATCAATAGACCCGACTACCCAATAGCATTTTGTTGCAATCTAATCTGCTTTTTATTGTTAATTCCGCTGAGACAAATTTCATATTTGTCAAAATCTCTGATACCCATCAGGACAGAATAAAGAACACTCACATCAGCGAAGTCTTTTAAAGCAAGGAAGACGCGTATGGACGCTTTTGTGTTGAGAGAGAGAAAGAGAGAGAGGGAGGGAGGGAGAGAGAGAGAGTGAAAGGGAGAAAGAGAAAAGAAAACAGATTTACATATGCTCATACTCAACCGAAGACACAGAGATTGACATACAGAAAGAGTAATAATTTTACCAATTGAACATATAAAATTCTGTCTATATTTCTGTATTATGTACATTACTTACATTATTCGGACTATTGTCCTCATCTTTGTCGCCATATTTATTACAACGTTTCGGCCGTTGTACGCTCCGGCCTTCTTCAGGTGGTTGGAATGTTGAACTGAACCCTTTATTTCACTCACTGGGGTAGACTGTTCTAGTTCCACGTGCGATGTTTGATGGATGTCAGTTATCAGTTATCTCCTGTTAACTTTCCCTCTGAAAGTTCTCCACTGCCTTAGCCGGGTATTGAACTCACACTCTTTGGGTCCTGTCACTGCATCTAACCAACGCCTTTATCCAGTGTGCCATGTGTCCTTGAGTTCGACATTCCAACCACCTGAAGAAGGCCGGAGCGTACAACGGCCGAAACGTTGTAATAAATATAGCGACAAACATGAGGACAACAGTCCGAATAATGTAAATAATGTAAAATTCTATTTAAAAATTTTGATCACGCATTTGCTTTAAAAAAACTTCATCCATTTCTAAAATATGTCTTAATAAGTTGTCAAAAAAAAAAAAAGTTGTCAAAGTACAAGGACCTTGAAATAGAAATCTCGAAAATGTGGCATATGGGAACATCAACAATCCCTGTTGTAGTTGGGGCCCTAGGAGAGGTTGGAAAAGATTGCAGTAGACTAATTGAAGGGATTCCTGGAAGTCCATGCCTCAAGGAGATACAAAAAATTGTTCTGACAAGTACAGCCCACACTTTACGAAGGACCCGGAAAGAAATGTGAAAACGTTTTCACATTTCTTTCCGGGACCCGGAAAGAAATGTGAAAACGCCAGAAATCAAAGAAAATAAAAACAATTTTCTTTATCTATGTAATTTTTTTTTTTTTTTTTTCTTTTTGCCAGTGGAAAGTGTCATGACGCCATTTCTAACCTTAGGTCCCTGGGCGGGACCCGGAAAGAAATGTGTAAACGCCAGAAATCAAAGAAAATAAAAACAATAATAATAATAATAATAATAATAACTAGAAATACTTATGAAAATTTCACGGTTTTTCTACTAAAATTTTCTGATGAATCTTAATTCTTAAGTTAACGATTGAATAAACTCATGTCGATTTCTACAACAATAAAATATCTGTAGAAATTCCCCTATTGCATTGTTAAATATTTGAGCTTAACAACTTTAACAAAATATTGCAATAACAATCATAAATATGCTGGTCATTATTTTAAGAATTAAGCGGGTAAAAAACGAAAAGAATAAAATTGTCAACATTTTCCATTTCACTGAAACAGACGTTAAACAATTCTATCTTCCCTTCTTTCTTTCATTTTCTCACTGAAACCAAGTAGCGTCTTTTTTGTCTTTCTATGCAATCAAAATGGAATAGCCCATTATTTATGAGGTATTGGTAGGATGTAACGGTCATGCTAATTAAGGGAGGGACAAGCAGAAGTTTTTTATTATTATTATTATTATTATTATTATTATTATTATTATTATTATTATTTGAAGAAGAAGAAGAAGAAGAAGAAGTGTCTTCATCTCGATCGATGACAATTACTTTCGGCGAAAAATAAACTGCAACAATTTAAAAAAAAAAAAACTTTTTACAGTTTGTCTCTTAATGAATTTGACTTTATAGACGTGAAACAAGGCTCGAAAATATATTCAAAGATTTCAAATAATTCAATCAGACTTGGGGATTTGAAACTCAAAGTTATCTCTTTTACTCTTTCTAATTTATCTTGTATGTTGTTGCTGACAGAAAAAAAAAATACAACTTATTTATTTATTTGATTGCAAACTGAAAGAGTATCCAGGTGCGTTGTTCACGTCTAGACGCGAATCAGATTGACGAATCGTTTCGATGGTGAATTCGTAAATAGAACATTTCCTCAATGAAAGTACAGTGATTATTACCCAATATATTTTAGCAATGTTCACAAAATGTTCAGTTTGTTTTTATTTGTAATGTTTTTACCATAACATTCCAAAATATATTGGAACAAAAACAAGAGAAAAGAAACGCTTCAAAAGTAATTTGTGAGATGAAGCATTATCATGTCTTCTAAACTGATTTGCTCGAAATATTAGCCGTTTCCCTATAAGAAAACATTTGGCATTCATTGACCAAGCAGCCAGTATGGCTTTCGGTTGAAATTTTTAAAAATCTTTCTTTTAAAACGCTTTTTCAGAAAAACAGGTTTCTCAAGCCTAGTATGTGTTATCGATCTTTGCAGTACTGATAGAGGTTTTCGTCCGAACGTTTTGCTTAGAGTATTGTGGACCATTAACATCTTGATTATGTCATTATTTTCACTTCGAGTCATATATGCTATTCATTTTAGTTGTTGCTGCTCTCGGTAGTCCTCAGATGGTGCGGATTCTGTTATTTGGTACAGTCCTTTGTCAATCTGTAGCGCCAAGTCCACAATATTCAAAGAAACATTACCTTTATCAAGACATTCAGGCTGTACTCAAAGTATTTTTCCACGATTGATCTTAGGAAACGGTTACGTACAGATGAGAGTTCGGTTTTTTCTGAACGGGTTTGGCGCCATGCACGAAATCTCTATAAAATTCTCGATCTGACAAGGTTATTTAAGAACCTGACCCGAGTTTTTAGGTAGAAAGAATGCATGGTAAATGGACTTAACAAAATTATTTGTACAGTTCTCATACTGCCTGTTCATTTTTTTTTTATTCATGCCAGCACTGTACCCGTCGAAATTGACTATTTTATATAAATGGACTGTTATTAGGGCATCGGTGCTTGTCTATCTGCCCGGGTATCTAACCATTTTGGATACTGCGCGTCATTGTTGCGCAACATTCATTAACTTGACAAACAACCAGAAGAGACTGCGCATGCGTTTGTAGATGCTCGCCTAACGAATAAGTCAGACTACCACGAGTGAAGCTCGTATGCTGTATGATCGTCACAAGACAGAGTAAGTAAATAAGCGAAGACTCTACAAAACATTGCTTCACTATTGTCTATCCTTCCCACTATGCCTCTTTTGAAAGAGAAAAGATTCCGAACATCAGAAGACATTAAAGAGCGTGCGACAAGATGGATGATAGCGATTCCGAAACAGAATAACTCTGTGAAATCCCAAAGGTAATACATTGAATAGATTCAGGATTTATTCCAATCGATAGACATTTTTCTGTTAATATTAAATATTAATTTGGGGGATCATTTCAAGAAAAGCATCGTATATATGAATATATATACCTTAATACTATAAGCGTTTTATTTAGAAGGGGCACGCGTTTGAGTAGACATATCTGTTTTTTATTTTTTTTACAACAGAGAAATCAATGTCTACCCACATAGAGATCGAAAGTTTTAGTAAAGCAAATCTCGGTTACTCTGACTTTCCTGTGAAGGTTCCTTGTAGCTTAAGGGTAAGACACACTTGGCGTGAAAGTGGTTTCCTAGATTAAAAAGAAATACAGGCACGATTCCTATCGAGAGGTACATTTCCTTTCGTAGGGAATTCAATCTCTAGACTTGCAGACATTGATTTCGGTGCTCAAAAGAAAAAAAAAAGATCTCCACTCATTTATGTGCATCCATGAAATATAAATGTTATAAATAGACGAAAGAATATGGGAATAGAAACCCATTTATTGATTGATTTGTTTTTACGTCTTAACCATTTGTAGGTTATTTGGCCATACATATTTAATGAGTCGAAAGCCAAAAGTATGAAGGAAAATAAATGATGAAATCTCCGAATTATTGACAAATATTCATTCGTCCGTAAACCACGTTGTATAGAAATGAGGCTATCAGTTATGGCGGCTCATAGTACCACGAGCAAAAAACAAATAAAAATGGAAGTTGTTCCTGCAAAATGACTGTTAAACTTCTAAAAAGAAATCGCGCTTAGATTACTTTGCAAGCTCCCACTCTCTACATTGAGAGACATCAATAGATCAGTGGTCGACTAAGAGTGTGCACTCAGCTCGAATATAACGGAGCCGTTTCTCCAGGCTTTACCTCATCTTCCAGAGAGGACTAGGGTCATTACTCGGTGTCTAAATCGTTCCCAAAAGGTAACTTGGACAATTTTTGCCTCTCGGCCAATATACGCGTATGATTCCACTGCAAAGTTGACCTTATGTCACATTTTGTACGACGTTAGCGTACAATAAATACTACCAAGAAAAGATACCGAAGAAAGCATTTAGATTACCCAATGTGGTAAGAAGAATACATCAAAGTAAATAATAAATTTTATTTTGTTCAAAGTTTCTCATAAGTTGATAAGGTCAAAAATATCATAACAAGACTAGATTTTGAATTTCATTTGCTTAATTAGAGATAAATACTTTAAAAGAAAATGATGGCTTACGTCAAATGATTAATTCTTGGACTTTTTCGATTTTTCTATCTCATTGGTTTTACAATAAGTACATTGGTAACCTTCTAAACCTGTTACATTCAGAAAAACACAAAAAATTAAAGATGTATTCTAAAAACTAAATACTAAGAAACTAGATAGCAGATAAGTTCGCCTGTCGTCCGGTTCACACTCCTTCCCGGTTTCTTGAAATGAAATAGAGGTTTATTTATTGTTTATTATTTGGTTTCCAGTTCTTTCTAAAGTCTTTTTCATTCTATTTTATCCCTGTAGCCCTTTGCATCTCACTGGCATTTTCACCTTTCTTGGAGAGAACTGATTAAAAAAAACCGTTAAAAACAAAGAAAAGCATGCTGAACAGATGAAGAAAATATCGAGAGAAATGTTGTTCTACAGAAAGATACTGAGAATAACGTAGACGAGGCGTGCTAGCAACGAGTAACATTTAAGACAAATGGAACACTTCGAATCAGAAAGGGACAACTGAAATTTCTGCGACACAGAAAGACGATTAGAAAAAAATGACACTGACACAGACAGAGGGAAACAGCGGAGCACCAAGCTAACAAGTTTTACGTGAATCGATGGGAGAACTGGGAGTGGAAGGGATGGAGAAAAGATAAAAAGGAAAAGGAAGTAGTGGACAGCTATGATTGTTCATGGACACAGCTCAAGAAGATTGTCGCAGCTGGAACTATCCCATATAAAAGTCCTAGCCTCCGTAATTTTAGCGTTTATCTTTCAATGTCTTGTATATATATATATATATATATATATATATATATATATATATATATATATAGTTGGATTGATGTGAGTTTGTGATCCTGCGTTTCACGCTATTTGCGATCGTCAGACAATCACAAACTAGAGTCACAAACTCACAACAATCCAACTAAATATGTTAGCTCTATCACTGATATTGAGAGCTTTCCATTAAGTACTGCGCATATATAATATATAAATAATATATATATATATAAAATTGCATTATATATATATATATAGAGAGAGAGATTTTATATATATATATATATATATATATATATATATATATATATATATATGAAAGTGAACATTGAAGTCAACACTCAGAGGTGAAGGCTGTTTCATGCTAGACGTAATCGTCAGGCCGTCATATATATATATATATATATGTGTGTGTGTGTGTGTGTGTGTGTGTGTGTGTGTGTGTGTGTGTGTGAGTGTGTGTGGATTTGCAAGAAGACAAAATGATATTTAGTGTGATGATTAGTTTGCTTGACTTGAAAACGGTTTTCTGAATCGCTTGACCATAACTCGTTGACCACAATATTATTTCGTCTCGCCCGTTCTTGCATTCATTTTCCTGCATGTTTGAAGGAAATCAGTTTTCGTCAGAGGCGGGAAACAACGTTGTTCGCTTCAACGAATGTCTGATAAAATGCCATATTTTTCTTCTCACGATACTTTTGCTTCCATAAAAAGTAAACGAAACGATGATGAAGCTAATAGTATATATATATATATATATATATATGTGTGTGTGTGTGTGTGTGTGTGTGTTCTTGTGTGACATCTGCAGATCTCGATAAACATTGGTTATGTCGATGCATCATCTGTTATGTCTGTATCAGCTCACACGGGAATTGAGAATCCCGATTGCAATGAATGCATGTAAAGACGCTCTTCCTCAATGCCGCCTTGCCTTTTTTTTTTTTTTTTTGCTTTCCGTCGAGCACACTTCTCCCCGGCGGCAACTTTTCGTTACTCCTCTCCTCGCTTCAACCATCGCTGTAAATCGCGTCTCCAGCGTCAGCGATCTTTGGTGATCTCTTCCCACCTCTCTTTGTCCATGACCTGCTGTACAGTTCTCATACTGCATGTTCATTTTTTTTTATTCATGCCAGCACTGTACCCGTCGAAAATGACTATTTTATATAAATGGACTATTATTAGGGCATCGGTGCTTGTGCATCTGTCCGGGTATCTAACCATTTTGGATACTGCGCGTCACTGTTGCGCAACATTCATTAACTTGACAAACAACCAGATAGTCATTTTGAAGACGTCCTTATATATATATATATATATATATATATATATATATATATATATATATATATATATATATATATATATATTATGGTATTTTACCCACGCACGCATGGACTCTCCCGGCTATAAATAGAAGCAGGTACTGCTTTTTGGAACTTTCCAGCATTCAGCTCTGACAGTCGGACCGAACATTCTTGGTGTAACAATCGTTTGTATATGTTTGTATTTCTGTTTCTGTTAATATATTTAATTCAGTTCTTTTGTTTGTGTCTTTATTTCTGATCCTAACAAGGCCACAACAATATATATATTGTTGTTATATATATATAAACGTTGCCATAAGCGGGATGATAGTGTGACAAGCTCTCACTCTCTAGAAAATGCTTATGTGCTATGCGTCTCAAATAGCCTCAGACAAAACAATTTTGTGACAGACGGTGCACAACTGACCCTAACAACGCGCATGCGCGAAATTAAAAATATAAAATGTCGACAATTTAACCGTCGCACTGTGTACATCTATATGTGTGTTTGTAAAACGTCCAACGCCAAGACGGAGAATGGGCTAAGACGTACAACTGGTGCCTCATAATCAACTGCTTCGGATAGATGGGCTCAAGAGCCCCGGATTGGAGCGAACTGGCTTCACATATTCATTTACTCGGGCTGTGATTCTAGGTTTTTCGAGGACGTTTGGCATGCTGACCTTCTCCGCATGCTCAAGGGCTATGGTGTCACGAAACGAATATCTGGCTTAACCCAATCGTTTTGAATAAATCGGCTAATGAAGGCCGTGTTAAATAGGCATGCTTTAAGTTCATTTCATACTAAGGCGGTTGTACCCCCAAGGCTCTATCCTAGGCTGTTTTTGATCTTCATCAATGACCGTCCTGATGTCATTAGTTACCAAGTAGGTATTTATGCAGATCACGTAGCCATTTACTTCTGTCTTAGTCGCAAGTGCAGCTGACCCGACAGTAAATCTGGCATCTAAACTAGAAAAGGACCTCCAATCAAATGGTTAAATGAAGCCAGAAATGGTTTATAAAACAAAACTACTTTCTTTTAACCACCATAGACAACCTTTTCTACCTGTCATCAACATGGCTGATACTAAAATCCAGGAGACCAACACTCTACGCTTCTTGGGTTCATGTTTTCCACTGACATGAAGTAGAGAGAATTTATTGAATCAATTGCTACGTCCACAGCTAAGAAAGTTTGTTTACAGTGTCGTGTCAGAAAGTTTTCTTGTCAGAATGCATTTTGCACATTTGTAAATCTACCATTCGTCCGTGCATTGAATACTGTTGCCATATTTGGTCAGGTGTTCTTGTTGCGATTCTTGACAAAATTAGGGTCTGTAATGCAATCGATCGTGGCCGTGCATCTTGACTTCAGTCGCTTTCTCACCGACGTGACGTGGCTTTCCTCTGTCTTTTCTAAAAAGAAATTTTCATGGCAATTCTTCAGATGACCTTTTTCCCCTGGTTCCCTGACTGCATGAATTTGAGCGTGTTACTAGATTGGCAATTAGGTCTCACCATTTTACTCTTGAACTAGCAAGATGCAACCGCCACTTCTGCTCTAACAGTTTCTTTTTTCGCACTTCCCTCCTGTGGAACTTCCTTCCGATTTCTTGCTTCCCTGATAACTACAATCTTCAACAATTTAAATACATCATCAATCGCTATCTTCTGTTTTCTTGAACATTGTTCTTTACTGGATTACTTATTAAATATTTTTATATAGTTATGTTAGATTTACAATCGGTTGAGGAAAATTACATGCTTTTTTTTAATTATTCTTGATTACACATCATTTCTCTAATAAACGCCCCCGTTTTTAGTTTGGTCTTTTTTTAGGGAATGAGGGGGGGTCTTCTCTCTCATCTTCTCTTTTCATGTATACATAAGGTTAGTAAATGCAAACCAGACCAAAAATTTTTCATATATCCATCGGCTGTGTGAACTGGCTGGATTTTAAATTTGGATCGTATAATCTTTTATTGTGCCTAATGTTACTAAAAATGCATCCACAGTTTTCCGATGTCTATTTTTTCATTTTAGGTCAGCGAATCGGTAGTGAATTATGCATCTGAAAATAATTCATATTTATCTGTATCTCACTCATTTAAACCGTTATTTAACTTCTCTCTTTAAAACTTCTCTATGTTAAATTTTAATCCCTACCTTCACGCTAAGGTCATTCCTGTTCTTCTTTCTTCTGTTAAACCTCTCTCTAGAGCTTTCATACCTTTCCCTCTCACCAGTGTTTCTCACTTCCACACATACACTCTCATTTTTTTTTATACCTGTTTTCTTTTTGAATTTGTAGGTCTGTTGAATTGGATCGTATTTACGATTCCAATGGAATAAATTATAACCATGGAATATTAGCCTTTTATATTATATTCTTACTCTGTCTTGAACTAGATTTTATCCTCCTGAAAATATATATATATATATATATATATATATATATATATATATATATATATATATATATTGTCATCCACAGACAGACTGTTTCGCTGTATCACAGCTCATCAGTGTGACTAGACATCCGATTGATTCAACCTGACTGATTCAGCAACAGTCGGAGATCCCCCACTCACTAAGTCATCGGCGCACGGTTGAAAACAAAAAACGTACTTATTCTGTGAATAAACACGCCAATGAGTGACAGTGCTTAATTCAAGGAAGGGAAGAACCTTGTAATATTAGTAGTATTAATCACTGTTTATAAATTGGCACTTAGCTCCCAAGAGTAAATCACTGAATTTAAGTTTTTCGGATATATATATATATATATATATATATATATATATATATATATATATATTGGACACTGAGGTCAATATCAAGCGGCGACAGTCTGGAGTCTGTTTCATGCTTTAACGCAAGCTTCAGATTTGGGTGTCAAAACCCAGTTTAGACTTTTATATTTACGCTCTTTCTTTGATATTCAGCACATTTACTCATAAATATAGTATACCTGAAAATTATATATATATATATATATATATATATATATATATATAGAGAGAGAGAGAGAGAGAGAGAGTGGTTGAAATAATGTACAAACCTGAAATCTAAACACATTATATTGTCTCCAAATTCCCTAACTAAAGAGCCTGAGAGAAATTAATAGAATGAGATAGATAGATAGATAGATTATGAGCAGAATGGGATAGATAGATAGATAGATAGATAGATAGATAGATAGATAGATAGATAGATAGATAGATAAAAAAACGACTAATGTTCCTATCTATGTAGGTATCTAGCATGTTCTTCTCTCCATCTCCCCCCCATTTCTCTCTCTAATGCTGGAAAAGTCTGATATCAATGTTTCATAGACAAACTGATCGCAAATAAACAGCCTTAAACGACTGGGATATTTCTGGTGCTTAAACAATTTGTGATACGAAAATTTTGTCTCTCTAATGTAGATCCCTTGAAGATGTTTGCGTGGCAATATTTAAATATTTAAAAGCAGTTAATAGACATATAATACCTACATTAGTTAAATAAATATGTTTCTCTTTTTTTCCGGTGAAGGAAAATCAGCTTTTCTTTTTAAGTTTAAAAAAATGGCTAATTTTTTTTTTTTATTTTAAATCGATTTTATTCGCAAATGACAGCACACGCACAAAAGACGCACACACACACGCACACACACACACACACACACACACGCACACGCACACGCACACACACACTCATACAGGTGCGCGCAAAAGAAGCCATTGCAAATGCAGCATGCGGACAACCCAAGCGGTTGCTTGGCACAAACTGGCAACATAACCGCACAACTCGACAGAACCCGAAGTGACCGAAGTCACACCCGCTTGAAAATACCCCGATTGGCTTCACACGGAGTGAAGAGCCTAGAAAATTAACCTAACTGTAGTGATATATAAATAACTACCTAATTAGCATAACTGAGGCAGAGACTATATACATGCCTAAGCAGTAAGGGTAGAACAACTCTCAGTATCAAGATAACTGACTACCACTGGACTGATAAAAAAGTACACCTCGTCACACTAAGTAAGTCTTACTCCATTTCTTTTACTGCGACTAATGGACTAATGGATCGTATTACACACGAAAAACTTCATTATGAAAAATATTCAAAATGCTGACAAGAAAAAACTGTTGTGGCACAAGTTTAAAAAACTGCACTATGTCAAACTTTACTATGCGTAGACAGATATAAAATTGATATTAACCAAGAAATGTTACTGAGGCTTTCAGAAAATGCTTATATTTATCAAATTACACATAATGAATTTTAGGTTATCTTTTATTAGACCTACTTAGAATAACTTTTTGGTGGAGTGCGATTTTATTATGAAAATCGAAGGTTTGTTTCTTCATATATATATATATATATATATATATATATATATATATATACGAATTTCCAAAATGTCCTCCGCTTCCTTCTACACACGTCGGGTCGTTGACTGGTGGACCCTTTCAAATACTTACACACGGTGTCGAATGTTTTTGCAGGCCCCCATGACACGTTGATGTCGCGTTTCTGCATTATTTTTGTCTGCTGCATAAGCCAATTGTTTTAGGTGGCTCCATAGATAAAAAATCCAAAGGATTGTTCTCGGGGGAACGTGCAGGCCATGGAGCCGGTCCTCCTCTACTTATCCATCTTTCATGGTATATGTCAGCCAGTGCATCGCGAACAATGTGACTAAAATGTGCTGGAGTTCCATCATGCATGAACCACATGCGTCTTCGTATTAGCAGGGGCAGATCCTCTAGCAGGTCTGGAAGTGTGTTCGAAATAAAGTTCCTGTAGACAGTTCCTGTAATATTTGCTGGAAGCACATATGGACCCACCAGTCAGTCACCTACAATTCCAGCCCACACATTAATGGTAAAATGATGCCGGTGTCTAGCCTCTATTGCACCAATGAGATTCCGATCCGCCAACAAATGTTGGTTGTGTAAATTTCTTATTCAGTTTGCACGAAATTAAACTGGAGGACTGGAGACAAAAAAACGGATCGCCAGTTTTCGCAATAAACCATCGGCAAAATGTTTTCCCGTGGTGAGTGATCAGTGGGCGAAAAACACTGCACACGTTAGAAATGATACGGATACAGGAGCTGCTCTTGAATTACCCTCCATGCAGTACGATGAGATGTACGTCATGCTAGAGCCACTTGACGTGTGCTGATACTCGAACCGACCCCAACAGCCCGTAGAATGTGTTCTTCGTGGTCGGGTGCATGAGTAGATGTCGGTCTTTTCTCGATCCATAATTTGTGGTACCATGGATCCTGTCTCAGCAATGGGACGACAGATAGCAGCAAAAGTTGGATAATTCGGCTGCCTTCGGTCTGTATGTAAAAATCATATTTGCCTGTTCACAATATGACTATCCTGCCATTGTTAAACGGAACGCTTCTCTCAGTTAACTCACTACTAAACACGCTAAATGTTGGAGACAGACAAGCCATAAATGTACACGAATCTAGTCTACAGGGCAACACAGCGCCATCTACCGTAAACTTTATTTAAACTTAAGCATTTGTGGACATATGTTTATATGGACTTTTGTCCTTGTGCTGGTGTGAGGAACCCACCACCCAAATTTATAAAAGTACTTTTAATACACACACTATATATATATATATATATATATATATATATATATATATATATATGGTTAAATCTGTTCGTAAATTGTCCGTTGGTTCCATCAACGGTTTTGTTTTTTTTTCTGTTATATATATATATATATATATATATATATATATAAGAATCCTCCCTTCTCCCTCTAGCTATGGGTAAATAGCAGGACAGACTGGGTTCTATAGCGTTGGATGGCAATTGGTCTAGGAGTAGGACAATTCTGAATTCAAAACCTGCGGAGGGTCGTTTGGGGACCTTGTGGCATTTAGTGCACCAGGTCTCTGTATTCGGCCCTTCAAAAAGTGTGGATGACCCTGCACGAAACCTTCACCACTATAACCAAATCTTATGTGCTGTTGTCAGGCTGTCGGTTTCCTTGGAACTCATCTGCTTGACCCTCATACGTTAAATTCGACGGCAGAGTCGAGTATATATATATATATGAATAAAGAGAGAAGGAAAACTTATCTTAACCCAATGCATTTCGTCTATTTCAAGACAAATGCGGGGATTTTATTTTGTTACAAATATTTATATACTAGAGCAAAGATTTTATTGGTTTTTCCAGCTTTTTAAATTTAAGGACGCTTATAAATATCCATCAGCTTAGTCAGGCTATAAAGGAAATCAAGTGACACAAATCAGTGATAGATCCAATGTAAATATAAAAGTGGATACTGAGTTAAACACCAAACAGTGACAGTCATGCTTGAACGCTATCTTCAGGCCATGTGTGATGGGTGGTAGCATGACTATTTGTCGTATGTGCTGGTCAATAAGGCCTTATGGGTAGCAAGGTGTGTAATGACACAATAAACCGGAAATAGCAGACCTTGCTACCCATATATATAACTAGTCGAGCTTTCACTCAACACATATAGCTTGAAAATCGCGTTCAGTTCTAGCATGGAACAGAATATCGACATTCGGTGATTTATATATATATATATATATATATATATATATATATATATATATATATATATTAGTACTGTCGTATATTCATTGATAGTTTACTATGTGTTATAAAATAAGATATAGGCCGTAAGGAGAAATAATTTATGTCAATGTTTTTGAATGATGAGAGCACATCGATGGAAATTGTGAAAAACTTGAGAAAAAATGAAATTGAAATCAATGGCATGATCCGGTGACCCTGGTATTTTTCCGAAGCTCCTTGATAAGATCCAAAGGAGAATCAGCAATATTAATTGTCTTGATCTGGCGTCTCGCATTCAGTCACTTTCTCACCGCCGTAAGGTTGCCCCTGTGCGTCTTTTCTATAAATCCTTTCATGGTACCTAGACTTTATGAATTTAAGCGCAGTACTAGACTAGCATTGAGTCTCATCAATATACAGCCGAGCTGGGTAGGTGTAGCCATAAGTTCTATGCTAACAGTTTCTTTTCTGGCACTTCTCGCTTGAGGAACTCCCTTTCGGCTGTATGCTTTCAAGTCAATTTTAATCTGCAAAAATTTAAATGTAATGTCTATCGCAATCTATTGTCCCCCTGATTACTCTTTTCTCTTTCTACTCGTTACTAATGTTTCTGTTCTTAAGTCTTGAACACAATGTAACCCTTTGTGTTTTATTGGCTTTACTCCCTTGCATTGAGTGATACCGATTTAAAAAAAAAAAAGATAAGGAAAAAATGCTTTAAAAGCCTCACAAAAGAGATTTAAAAACATATAAATCATACTTATTATAAAACCCAGGTTGTGTGTGTGTGTGTGTGTATGTGTGTGTGTGTGCGTGTCTGTACGTTTATATATTGGGTCGGATTTCCTACATTTTTCAACAAATTTCAACAAAACTTCACAGGACTACGAAAAATTACCTTGCAGTGGTTCTGACAGCGCCAAATATTGGAAAAACACAATTGTTTTTGCACAAAATCAATTTGAAAACACGATAAAACACGATTCTGTCGCCAGAATGAAAGGGGGACAACTCATATCGAGTTATACGTATTATAAAACCCAGATTGTTTGTGTGTGTGTGTTCGTTTATATATGTGATTGGATTTCCGACATTTTTCAACCGATTTCAACAAAACTTTTTTTGGCAGGTAGTGTTTCTTATTGTCTTGCACACTTTTTCTTTATTTTTACATTCAGAATGCTTTAAAAATTTCATTTACAAGACAATTGTTTATAATAAAATTGAAAAATTGATACAATTGAAAACAATGTTTGAGTTTGGGTTTGACCAATTCGTAAAAAAAAAAAAAACTAATTAAGACATGCGTGTCCGTCAACCTTAAACAATAATCTTTGTCAGTTTTATTTTTCAGTCTTTATGATGATCGATACTTGATCTATCTCTTACTGTTACATCTCCGGGCAACGCCGTGCTCTACTGCTAGTGGGTAGTAAATAAGAAAGTTTTCACAATCATGAAAATATTTGAAAAAACTTATTACGAATTAAAACAGACAAAATATTCAGAATATTAAGACGTGAAAAAAAATCAAAGTACCACATTCTTTTATCATTTTACTCCTAAGCAAGGCGATAGAACCACAGTATTAAGAAGAGAGGACAATAAAAAACTAGGTTATGATTAAGGGCCTATATTTGCCAGAAAGAAATACCCACTGACACTTTCTGGAACATACAAAGGCCACCA